CACCCTGGACCCCTTGTGAGGTGCCACCAGTGGTGCTGGATGTGCTCCCAAGAAGCAGAGAAAAGTCATGAAATTACAAGAAGTTGACTTGCTCGACAGGTTCAGGGATTGAGGTCTGCACTTACCGTTGCCTGCCATTTTGCGATAAATGAGTCTAGTAAAAGGATCATTGTAAAACAGAAAAGGGCATTAATGCGACTATTGTTTTATGCCAGCAGGCATGGGCATTTTTTGTGAAAAATATTTTTATTGTTGAAATACAGTTTTTATATGGGCACAGTTTAATACCTATAACACAGAAAACAGGTGTTAGTCCACTATTTCTGTGGGCTAGTCAGAGTGAAGTTGTTGGTGAATCAAAAGTTCTATGAAGATTTTCAACTGCCTGAGGGGTTGGCACCCTTCACCCCCACATTGTGCAAGCCTCCTCTGTAATTATACCTAGTCCATGTTAATCAAATCTACTCAAAGTAGGAGCAAAAATAAGAATAGCACTTGCAAGATGCCTGTCAGTACACTGTTTTTTAGAAATTGATTTTACTTGAATGAACTTTGAACACATTTCATCAAATCTTCCAAAGTGAAGATTCAAACATTCTCATTCCATTTCTGCAAAATGTTTACCGTATAATCTTCTTGGCAAAGCCTTTCCTTGTTGTCAAAATTGTGCTGAACAGAGATGAGCATCCTTTTTGAAAAAGTCTGACTTTGCTCAAATAAAGGTGTCCATGAATGTCCCCTGCTCGTCTTCTTCGCACTCCAGCAGCCGTGTCCTGGGAGAGGGGTAAGGCAGACAGCCTTGCCATCCACTCACAGCCCTGGTGTGCCAGGGTGCCACTGTTCATCCTGTGTTTGTTCTGTTTGCTCTGCTCTCCTGACCCTCCCCAGAAAGGACATATTCTTTGGCTGGTGAAACAGGCAAGTTCATTAAATGAAACTTGTCACCAGTCTTGCTGCCCTGGCTATCTATGTACCGGATAGCCTAGCACAGGCCCAATTACCCTGCTAACAACGTCCTATCTTGCCATGAAAAGCAACCCCTGTAAGACAGGGCAACCCTTGAAGCTTTCCTTTGCGTCTCTCGGGCCTGGGTTAAAGGAGGCTTCTCCGAGTCCTGGGTTTTCAATGGTCGTGTGTGCCTTTGAGGGTCTCCTGCTTTGGGAAGATGCACGGCATTAAGATTGGTGAGGGATAGAGCTAAAGTGGGAGAAATTGATTATGAAAGGGAAAGGGTGAAAGTACTAGCCTGATGCCTCCAGACAATTGCTTTCTCAGGCGGATCAATTTTTGAAAAGACTACGTTATGGAAGTTGCAGACTAGAAATTCATTTCTTTAAAACACCCATGCCCACTGTTGTGGGTTGGATTGCGTTTCCAAAACATATAAACCCTAACCTCTATGTCTGAGGTTGTGATCTTGTTTGGGAATGGGTTTTCATTGTTATATTAATGAGCCTCGATCACTGTAGCATGTATTTTGAGTCCATCTCTCTAAAAGCAATCCAGGAAGCAGAGACAGGGGTAGACAGATTGCAAGCCAAATGGAGAAACTCAGATGAGACAAGGATCTTCTTCCAAAGCTTTATAGAAAGTCTTTCTCTAGAGTTGCCCCCCTGAGTGTGGATTCTAATCCCCTAAACCGGGAGAAAACAAATTTCTGTTTGTTAAAGCCACCGGCAAGCGATGAACTTGGTTATTTGGCTGATGAGCTCTCTCAGCTAGATCTTAAAGGGGCTGTGTGGTTTCTCCTTGCCACTTAAGAGCACATCGGAGGAAAGCGATGCATTTAAAAATGAACCGTGTGAAATGAAAACAGGAAGTGAAGATTTGGAAATTTAGGTTGCCGTACAAACTAAGAGCTGTCTGTCTATGATTTTTCATTTATGGTCATACCACCTCGTGCTAAAGAGATTCAGCCTGAGGCTGATGGGCCTAACCAACCACTATGGTGGAAAATCCCATCAGGTTAGACCAGAGGGACAAAGACAGGATGCAAGGAAAGAAAACTATCTGCTTTGTAGAACTCTATAGGCATAAATCCGGCTAACAGAGCTGCATCTGTCGTCCTCCAAGGAAAAAAAAGGTCTTCCTTGGAGAGGCTCAGCGATCAGCAGAATTGGGGGGAGGAGCCAGGAGGAGGAGCCTTCTTGGCTTCAAAGGGTGGGGCCACCATCTCACTGATCTCTGAGATCTCAAAGAGTGGGGCCCAAAGCTCCTGCTTTTCCGTTTCAGTGAGTCAGAACATGGCCAACTCAGTTCCAGAATGCGGGGTTGCTGAGAAGATGTGCCAGTGGGACAGGGCTGCCCGCCAAAGCTCACAGGGATGGGACTGCCATTGCCCAAGGGGCAGAAGAACTGGGTCTACAAGGGCTGGGGCGCAGGGTTGCCACTTAAGAGGACTAGGGAAATGGGGTCTTCCACAGCTGAGGGAGGAGAGGTACGATCCCAGCGAGACTGCAAGGCAAAACTGAAGCCCAGTGTTGAGAGCCCTCCACCCAGAATTCAGAGTCAGGCTACCCCTCCAAGCCTGGAGAACGAATGTAAGTTCCCTTGGCTTCCTCCCATTCGTAACAGACTGTCTGCCCAGGCCTGTTTCAGCATTGTAAATTGGAAGCACAGCTTGTTTCACATTACACTGGTTCACAGACAGAGGATTTTTTTTGCCCCAGGATGGACATTGTCAAAGCTTCGCTCCTATTTGATTGAACTGATTTAAAAGATGAGATTTTGGACTTGGAGTTTATTTAACACTTTGAGGATGATTGGATAAGGGGAATATGGTTTTTTTTTCCCCAATCACTTTATTGGGGGCTTGTATAACTCTCACCACAATCCATCCATCCATCCATCCATTGTGTCAAAGCACACCCGCACATTGTAGCCATCATCGTTCTCAAAGCACCTTCCTTCTACCTGAGTCCCTGGTATCAGCTTCCTGCTTTTTCCCTTCCCTCCCTGCCCCTGCCTCCCCCTTGATAATTTATAAATTATTATTATTTTGTCATGTCTTACACTGTCCAACGTTTCCCTTCACCCACTTTTCTGTTCTCCATCCCCCAGGGAGGGGTTATACGGAGATCCCTGTGATCCGTTCCAAGGGGAATGTGGTTTGCATGTGGTAAGGGCATGCCTTTTGGAGGTCAAATGGTAGATTGTGATGGGTGAATTGTTGCTGTTGGGTGCTTGGGGGTCGGTTCTGTCTCATGTGGGGGTGTGGCTCCACATCCCAGCCCAGCACCTCCTACTCCTGCAGCTCCCCTGGGCGAAGGTCTGCTTGGGCAGGTAGGGAGCACTCTAGGACACATTTTAGGTGTGTCTTGTAGTATGTCTGTATACCCAAACGTTGGTCCACCTGACAACATTCTAATACATGGTTCAGAGTCAGGAATCACACCTCCCAAGGGAGCAACATCACCATCACCCAGCCCCCAGCGCCCAAGCTGTCATCACGCCACATGGAGATTCAGAGTCACTGTTCTTCCACCGCTGGCCCCTGGGACCACGTGTGAATGTTTGCCTCTATGCCTTGCCTCTTCTCCGCATTGCATTGTGGGGGTTAGCTTTCCTTGAGTCGGCTGCACTACACCGTGACGGACCCTGTAGACACCAGAAGGAAACAGGGCCTGGTCCGGCGCCTGCCTCCTGTTTGCTGTGATGTCGGAGCCTGTTGCTGCAGCCTCCGTGTCCTTCCCTTTTGTTGAGAGTCTTCCTGTTTCCCTGCTCATCACCTTTACCAAGCACGCTGTCCTTCTCCAGGGACTGGCTTCTCCTGGCAATATGTCCAAAGTACATGAGATAAAGTCTTGCAATACTTTCCTCTAAGGAGCATTCTGGCTGTACTTCTTCCAAGACAGATTGGTTCCTTTGTTGTTTGATTGAATTGCATGCCCCCAAATATGTGCTGGAAATCCTAACCCCTTTGCCTGTGGTGACCTATTTGGAAAACGTGTTGTCTTTGTCCTGTTACTGAAGCAGGGTTAGTGTAAGGTGTGTCTTGCATCAATCTCCTTTGAGATGTAAAAGATACTGAACAAGTAAGTGAGAGAAGCAGAGATGGATGCTGTGTGGGAAGAGAGACGCCAACCCACAGGAAGACCGCCAGGGGCAGAAGCTGAAGGAGACGAGTCCCTCCCCCCAGAGCCCAGCGAGAGAAATGCACTCTGAATTTGGACATGCAGCCTCCAAAATTCTGAGAAAATAAAATGCCTGTTTATTAAAGTCGCCATTTATGGGGCTTGGGGTTTAGCAACTCTAGGTAACTAAGACAGTATAAAAAGAAAACCTATTTTAGGGCTACACAACATTACGTTTAGCAAAAGCACATAAGCAGAAATATCAATGTATTGTCATTGGTATATTTTTCCTTGAACGATTCAGTTAACTTTTATTTTATTTATTTATTTATTTAAAAAACCCCATTTTATTGGGGGCTCTTACAGCTCTTATAACGTTCCATACATCAATTGTATCAAGCATGTTTGTACCTATACTGGCATCATCATCTTCTAAACATTTGCTTTCTATTTGAGCTGTTGGTTCAGTTAACTTTGAAAAGAGAATTGTGTGTCTGCTTCTTCCCCCAAATTATTAGTTTTTCATAGACTATATGAAATTCACAACACTCTTTTAAATGGTAATTAGAATAATTGTGGTTGTCATTCCTATTTTTGCTACACATTCGTCCAGCTCACTTTCACACCCTTCAAGCTCTTTTCTATACTGTACCTTATTAAGAAAAGAGATATTTCAAATAATAAAGCTACAAAATAGGCTTGTTGACGAGCAATAGGGTGAGAATTGAAGTTGTGTTATTTTAATCTGTCTGAACTTGCCAATTATTATAGCAGATTATTAAAATCATACAGACAACAAGCTATTGGTAGATGATGTATAATTATTTAGTAGACAAAATGGATTCTCAGAAGTAATTATAATTTGATGTGACTCACGTAAAAACGGTTTCCTGCCAAAGTAAACTCGTAGCTATATTTTGTTGACAGAAAATACTTCCAAGGCAGGATCCAAACAAGAGCAGTGCCAACACCCTCTGTTGCCTAGTGGGACTACCTTGTCCCAGGAAACACTGCCAGTCAAGATTACTGCTTGGGACTCAACAGAGGTAAGCCATTGTGTTAATGTCCTATTGTTGCCTTAACCACTGTAATCCATTAAAACAGCACACCTTTATGACACTCGTCTCATTAGAGGCTAACATCCAGGTGTCCGCAGGGTGGTGCGCACCTTTGGAGGCTCCCGGGAAGAAGGCGTGTCCTTGCCTTTCCCACATTTCTTGGCTTGTGGCCCCCTGTCGCTTCATCTTCAAAGCCAGCAATATTGCATCTTTTGGATTCTTCCCACCACAGCTGAGAAAAAGTATTTGCTTTTAAGGATTTGTGTGATTCGACTGAACCCCCTGGATAATCCAGGATCATGTCCTGCTTTTAGGGTCCTTCTTGCAAAGTCCCTTTCGCCCTAGAATGCAGCATAGCCACAGGTTCTGGGGGTGAGGATTTGAATTCTACCTGCCAGTCATGGTCTTGTTCTCAGTTCTCTCTTAGTTCTCTAGTGCTGCAGCACCAAATGACCACAAGGGAGTGGCTTCCACAAACAAACATTTATTTTCTTACAGTTCAGGAGGCTGCAAGTCCAAACTCAGGGTGCTCTGGGGGGAATCTTTCTCTCAGTCGATTCTGGGGGACGTTTCCTATCTCTTTCCAGCCTTTGTTCCTGGGTTCGGCAATCTTCATGAGGTATGGCCCGATCTTTCCCATCTGCGCTTGCTTCTCTGAGCCTCCCCTGCTTCTTTCACATCTCAGTGAGGTGGACTTGAAGACATACCCTGCCCGAATAGGGCCTCATTAACATAACACTATTCCCAGCTGGGTCTGCCTCTGAACATATGAGGATTAGGATTTACAACACCTATTGGAGGGGACCCAATTCAGTCCATAACAGATTCCTTTTCACGGAATAATTTACTACAGAGAGTTGAACAGCCATTATTTTAGACCGCATTCATATAATTGTAATAACAAGATATATTGAAAGTAGCACACTCGTGTTAAATATTTTATTCATTATAAAAATGGGTCATGTGGAAAGTCCCACCCATCATCATCTTGAATTCTTTGAAGGTAACTTTTGTTAATAAAAATTTTAATATAAAAATTAAAAGTCTGGTATTTTTGCTGCAAATATAAGCATGTATACTCTTTTTAAAAAAAAACATTTTATTAGGGGCTCATACAACTGTTAACGCAATCCATACACAAATCAATTGTGTAAAGCACATTTGTACAGCATTCTCAAAACATTTTCTCTCCACTTAAACCCCCGACATTAGGTCCTCATTTTTCCCTTCCCTCCCGCTCCCCCCTCCCTCATGAGCCCTTGATAGTTTATAAATGGGTATTTTGT